CCGTAAAATAGCAGCATAATACTAATGTGTTGAGGAGAAACTCTTAATACTATTAACGAGCGAAAAATAAAAATATAATAATTTTTTATTCAATATAGATCACATGTACATATGTAATTCTTATACTTATAATACTAGTTCGAACGAAAGAAAGAAAGAAACACAGCGGGACTTTTTTTAAAGTAAATTTTACAATAAAGGTTATACAAAATATTTACAAAATTTAGTAGAGCCATTTCATCAGGGGTAGCAAAGCAACTGCATTGTTTTGATAACTGCGGATAGATGTAAGTTATCAAGGTCACAACACTCAATTATCATTGGGTGAACTCTGTACTGGACTGTCACCTTTTATCATTATTATGTGCGGTAGTCCACTGCTGGACATAGGCCTGTCCCAATGCTTGCCACTCAGCCAGATCTTGTTGTTGTTGCAGTTGCTGCCAGCCGTCTTACGCATACCATTGCCCCATCTACTCAGGGGGCGTTCCACTCTGCGTTTACCAAAGCGCAGTTCATACACTATGATTCGTTCATTCCAACGGTTATCACTTCTGCGACAGATGTGACTAGCCTTTTGAAACACATAGTTATTACCACCATCAGCTTTAAAATATTAATGAAAGCTTGGGTTGTCATAGATCCCTAGTAGCATTGCCAGATTGATTTAACAGTGGTAGAGCCACGCGGCAGCTTTTGCTGTCGCACGGATGGGCCGGCTCGAACCGGGGTAGTACCACGACCTCACAGAATACCAGCGTGAAGTAGAGGTTTACCTCTGCGTTTCGCTTGGTGAGTGCAGGTGGCCGGAGGCCCTTTTTACTGGAAATGAGGCATTCCATCTTAGTCCTCACGGGTGACAACGCATCTACATTTTGATTTGTAACAGAGGATAGATGTAGATGTCTATGGGCCGCAGCAACCACTTACCATCAGGTGGACTGTGTGCTCGTTTGCCACCCTCATCCTATAAAAAAAAATGATTGGCGTTTCATGGATGTGTTGATCATCTAAGCACAACAAGCTCTTATGTGTGTGTGTGTGTGTGTGTGTGTGTATAAACTGGAATGGACGTGGCATTAATATAAACGGTGAACACATCTGTCACCCTTACTTGTATAAAAAGTTAAGACAAAAAATGTCTTAAAATTGCGTCCATTAAAAAGGCTAGAATAATCTTTATCAATGAAAATTCTTTTTAAAATTTTTCACAAGTTTCCATGATAGAGGGCCTGAAGAATAAATTCATAGGAACCATATTTAGTGCGGCGACATGGTGAGCGTAAGAAAATTGCAATTTGCCCGAGGAGCATTAAAATGCGCCGCCGGAATTTGTGAATATTGGATAGGAATTTATATTACATGTAACCTCGCGGATAGGCCACGGGTAAGGTGTTAAGATTGTTTTAGATCTGATATCTTTTAAGAATTCTTGAAACATACATGAAACATAACTAAACTTTCACGTCTGTCACCCACGGGTGTAACGTAAAAAGGAACACATGTACCCGTGGCAATTAAAATCGAAACGCAAAGGTTTTTCTCCTTCCCTTTCCTCTCCCATTATTCCCTTCCCTCTCCCATTTTTATCAACTTATTGCAACGATCGAAATAATTTTTGTATTTTTGGAACGGCCTCTACTAGACTACTCAGCATATACGGTAAATCGATCCTAGAATGTGGAATTTGATTCTGGAGTGTCGAAGTAGTGTTTTTGAGAAAGCTATACCATCGCTTTAATATGTTCCTATGGCGGATGACCTTGTGAGAAAAATTGGCAAGAATAGATTAATTTGCGCCCATCTAAAATATACACCAAATAAATTTTATTTTCATATGATTTCAATTATAGTAAAGTCTATATGTTATATGACTTTGATATGTGTATATGTTTGTGACTTAAATCGACTACAATATCATGTAAGTTTTATTGTATCTATAACTTTGGCTGTACAAAAACTTTTCATGTTTGCCTTAAAGAAACCATGTTGGAATGTGGTTCCAAATTTTTTGTCTGTCTGTCCAGGCTAATCTTCCAAATGACTGAATCGATTGTGATGAAACTTTACAGACAGATAGAGAGAGAAAATACCAGGAGGAAACTAGGTTATATTTTATCTGAAAACTTAGAAACTTAAAAAATAATTATTTAATAAAATAAATGGTTTTTTATTTTTCTTAAATCTAAATAATGCTACACTAATATATCCTATACAAGCGAAGATAAGGCGCGGCGTTAATATTAAATAAAAATGATTTTATTCTATTCTAAAGCTTAAGCTATTTGGTAAAAAGCTATTTGGTAAAAAGCTAAAGCAGGTAAATCAGTCTCTCTAGATCTGTCTGAGGTTACGAAGTACAATATTTTCTTACTTATATTGCAATTTTAACACTGTCTAAACATTATTAGCTCTATGTCCTCCTTCCGATTATCTTTTGATGTAGCCGTGCAGTGCGAACATAGCAGTTTTAAAAGACTATATCTTTAAAACTGCGATGTTCGCATATATGTACGTACAATAAATTGGTTTGTGAATTTAGTGAAAATATTTGGAAAAAAATACAAGGCAGATATAACTTGAGTCAAATTTATTTTTGGTATGTCATATTAATTCATCGAGATCCATTCATTCGCAATGAATGCTTATAAAAGTCTATAAAAGTCCACTGCTGAACATAAGCCTCTCCCATAGGTTGTATCTTCGTTACGATTTTGTCATAGTTGCCACACTTGGCAGGTGTGTTGGCAACGGCAGTTTTTTATAATTTTGAATTGTTATCATCAGAAAGATGCTGCTGCCCATTTTCTGTTTAAATTTCCCTCTGTCGCCTCTTACGACACCCACGGGGCGATATGGGGTGGTGGTCTTACACCGCCACTACACGGTTGATTAATTGAAATCAATAAAATGCAACTGTTTGGTATCTTATTGACAAAGTTTTTCGATGTTACACTCATGAATCAAGATTTTATTTATTAAAATTTCACAAGTTAACATTTGTAAAGAAAAAGGTATTACTTGGATAGTTTGTGAAAATAAATATTTTTCTTTCTATGGTAAGCTAAAGGGGCTATGGGTCGGCCATATAGCTCGAAGAACCGACAACCTTTTTTAGTGGCAACCTCGAACCGGTAAGCGAAGTGTAGGGCAGGGCGACCCTTCACTAGATGTAGTGTCGACCTGATAAGACATACAGGAAGTCGATGGATGCAGGTGGCACAGAATCGTGTTTTGTGGCGGTATCGGTTGGTTTTATGTTCTTGTGGACGAAGGCTCATTCGGATACTCAAATTGATCGAGAAGAACTATCATACATTCCCGTTCGCTTAATGTCATGCGCCATTCTATTCATCGGTTAATCGGCGGCGGCGCAGCATCCCTTTCTCTCTGTGTTTGAATTATTTCCTGCATATCTCATTATATAATATTTGAAAGGTAATTGTGGCGGTTCTAGTGAGCTTGTAGTACACGGATAAACATTCCGCAGTGCTTATTTCACCAATCATGAAAGCAAAGGAGGCAGCTCGGTAAAACCTTTTTACTGGAAACGAGCCATTCAATCTAGGGCCTCAGGGGTGACAGCGTATATGCATTTTGATTCTTAATAGAGGATTAATGTAGATGTCTATGGGTGTTACCACACCAATCAATCCATCGTCGATCGGTGCCATTGACAAATTTGACCTGCTCAAAGTTCAAAAGTTTTATTAAACAAAGTTTGTATGTAAAGGGTTATTATAATATTAAGGATAATAACCCCTGGGGATGAGGTGATCGCTGCCAAGCTATTTCTAATTTGTTTTGTGTGGTTAATTGTGATAACGAGATTGTATGCTGTTATTTGAAAAAAAAGCATCGCTGGGTTTCTTGCTGGTTCTTCCCAGGACAGAGGTTTTATTAGAATCAGTAGTAATTAAACAAAAGAGTGACTTTCAAAAAGTATTATTTATAATCTATATTGAATAAAAAAGTTTCTGTTTCTGTTTCATATATTATACGACGCTGTGAGTAGCGGCTTAAAAGGATTCATTACCTCATCACATCCCATTATATAAGAGGCAACTGAGGGAAACTGAAATAAGAGATGGGCAGCAGCGAAAATAACGGAGTCCATTATTAACTGCCAGCTCATGCAGTACCTTGAGGAGTACCAGCTGATTAGTGACTGCCAGTACGGTTTCCATCGGGGTCGCTCAGCTGGTTATCTTCTTGTTTACCTAACACGTAGATGGGCATAGGCGATCGAACCCAAGGGAGAGGCATTGGTTGTTAGTTTCGACATAGCCAAGGCCTTCGATCGGGTCTGGCACAAAGCGCTTCTTTCGAAGCTTCCTTCCTATGGGCTTCCCGAGAAATTGTGCAATTGGATCACCAGTTTTCTGCCTGATCGGAGTATTAAGGTCGTAGTAGCGGTGCGTGCTCCGATTACAAGCCTATTAACGCTGGTGTTCCACAAGGCTGCGTGCTATCACCAACGCTGTTTCTTCTGCATATCAATGATATGTTGCAAACCGGTAACATACATTGCTATGCAGATGATAGGACTGGTGATGCTCTATACATCGGTTGTGCCAGTACTTCTCGGGAAAAGGTCGCGCCATTTACCGGAACAAACTTGTCTGAAGTCGAGACTTTGTTGAACAGTCTCGGATTGGGGCCGACTAAATTTAGTTCAGTTCAATCCCTAGAAGACACAAGTTTGCGCGTTTACCGCTAAAAGAAACTCCTTTGTCGTATCTCCTCAGTTCCAAGGCACTCCCCTTGTTGCTTCAGACAGTATTGGAATCCTTGGCGTCGACATATTGAGTGACGTGCAGTTTCGTGGTGACTTGGAAGAGAAGGCCAAATTGGCCTCTAAAAAGCTTGGCGTGCTCAGCAGAGCGGGGCAGTATTTCATGCCAGTACACCGCCTGCAACTTTACAAGGCGCAGGTTCAGCCTCACATGGAATACTGTTCCCATCTCTGGGGTGGGCACCCGGACCGACTGGAAGCGGCGATGCAAGATTTAATGTCTGCGCTCTGTCTGGATGACAGCCCTGATTGCGACACGGCTTATCACCGGCAAGTCCGTTTGCTGGCGGCATTTGTGCCGTCTGGTGGGGTTGCGCCTCCACTCACCATTGGGGACCTGGGAGGTATAGTCAAGGCCTTGCCTAACACAGCTCCGGGACTCGATGGGGTAAGTGCGAGAATCGTGAGGAATATATGGATGGCAGCACCAAGGGAACTTCACTTGGTGTATGCTAAGTGTGTAGTAGAGAGAGTTTTTCCCAAGGTATGGAAGGACGGAAGACTGATTGTCATTCCCAAGGGTAATGACAAGCCGCTCACCGACGCCAAGGCATACCGTCCAATTACGCTCCTCCCTGTTTTGGGAAAATTGCTAGAACGCGTAATGCTGAGATGTGCTCCTGCGATTAGTCGTGGGATATCGGAATACCAGCATGGATTTTCTCCGGGGCGATCTACGGTAACATCGCTGCGTGTCTTGCTCAGCACGGCAAAGTATTCTCGGGCTTGCTACGTGCAGGCAATCTTTCTTGATATCTCCGGCGCCTTCGACAACGCCTGGTGGCCGATGATGATGGTTAAGGCGAAACGAGGTGGTTGTCCACCCAACATTTACAAAATGCTGGTGGATTACTTCACCTCCAGACGTGTCGGCCTTTTCATCGGTGACCGGGTAGAGTGGAAGACGTCGACCATGGGATGTCCTCAAGGCTCCGTGCTGGGCCCTACACTGTGGAACGTATTGATGGACAACCTACTCCGACTCCCTCTGCCTGAGGGAGTAGCAATGACTGCCTATGCTGATGATGTCACTATTCTCATTGAATCACAAACCAGAGCGGGCATCGAATCCAGGGCCTGAGTCACTCTGGACCTTGTACGGGAGTGGGGGCTAAGGAATCGACTGGAGTTCTCCTCATCAAAGTCGACCACAATGACTGTTAGAGGGAAACTTCAGCGCCCCCCCGTTATTAGACTTGGTGGAGAATCCATCAAGAATGTGACCAATGCTAAGGTACTAGGCGTGGTTTTGGATTCGGGACTATCGTTTGTGCAACACGCGTCCGATATTTCTGAAAGAGCGACCAAGGGATTCGGTATAATGACTCGCGTATCGACATCATCATGGGGTGTCCGATACCCGAGCCTAAAAATAATCTATAGAGGAGTGTATGTATCCACGCTTACGTACGCGGCAGAGTGCTGGTACGAGCGTGCGAACATGTACGCAGTTCGCAGTGCACTACTCAGATCGCAGCGAACCGCCCTTATATTGTTAACCAAGGCGTACCGATCCACTAGCACGGCGGCCTTGCCGGTGCTGGCTGGTGTTCTTCCTGCTGACCTGGAGGTCATCCGTGCTGATAGGATGGGTATGGCACGTATGAACGTGCCCAAAGAGGAGTTGAGCAGGCGGAAACGCGAAATTTGGACTGAGGTGATCGGTGTATGGCAGGATCGATGGATGAATGACTCAAAAGGACGCGAGCTCAATCGATTTTTCCCGGAGGTGGCGTTGAGACTCAGGTATACCTGGGTCTCACCGGACTATCAAACCTCTCAGATTCTCACCGGACATGGATGCTTTCGGAAGAGACTGAGTGAAATGCGACTGTGTGAAACAAGTATGTGTGAGTGTGGTGCGATAGAGGAGGACGTTCACCATGTTCTATGGGAATGTCCTCTGTATGACGACCTAAGAACGAAAATGATGGATGGATTACTCGGATCTCGTCAGCGGTGAGGTGAACTACGGGCTGTTGCGCGAGTTTGCGCACAGATGGCATGACCGCAGGAGAAGTAATGACAGAATGTTGGCAGACAGGACTGACGACGTAGGCGTCAGTGTGCCGTCAGCCCTAGAAGGGGGAGAATTACGTAAATACAGGGACAAGGAACAGATTAAATATTTGTAGGGAGTCAAGAAAGTGCGCGCGGGAAAGAGCCACGTGCAAGTACCGCGCGCATCTCCCGAGATTCGGCCCGTATGACCTGAGGGTCGGTGGGGCCATGGGAAGTGGTGGGTCGTTTCCATCTCTGGGCAGGGCCTCCCCAGTGCCAGCTCCTTTCACTTGACCGCATCGAGCGCAGAGCGGTTCGAATCAGTGACGACCGAGTTTTTTCCAATCGGCTTGACTCACTGGCACTGCGTAGAGATATTGCATCTCTTTGCGTATTTTATCGCATGTACCACGGGGAGTGCTCTGGGGAATTGTTCGGACTAATTCCAGCCACTCAATTTCACCATCGCACATCGCTACAAAACTCGCAATACCATCCATGCCATCTGGATGATTAGCGGTCCACCACTGTGCGATTTAGAAGATGTTTTCTTCCTCGCCCAACTACTTTGTGGAATCGATTACCACCAGCGATTTTTCCGGACCGATACGACTTAGGGACCTTCAAGAAAAGAGTCTACTCCTTTTTAAAACGCCGGCAACGCATCTGCAATTCCTCTGCTCTTGCAGTTGTTCATGGGCGGCGGTAGTCACTTACCATCAGGTTAGCCGCATGCTCGTTCGCCCCCTCTCCTATAAAAAAAAACTGCGGTTGCCAAACCACCTGTCAAGTGTGGTAACAATGGAAAATATCTTCCTATGAGGCAATCTATGAATAAGGCATGTTCAGCTGCGGCATGTGATATTTGCAGTACGAATGAGTCGAAAGAAGTACACGCTCGCACAGAATACCAGCGTATTAATAGCATAATGCTGATATGATTCGTATGATAAGCGAAGAGGAAACAGACCGACAGAAACCTTTTACTAGTAACGGCGTGTTTCATCTTAGGCGTCATGGGTAGCAACGTATCATTACTATAAAAATCGAACGAGAGTAATTAATGTATGTTTATGGGCCTTATAATTTATTTATCTTCAGATTGTTTGTATCAATTTTGAAGCATGTATCAATCAACTGTTTGCATGTTGATCTAGTGGGAGATAACCCAACAGTGCTTTTGAAAGTATTAGGCTACCACTTCAGAACCGTTCTCCCACCAGTTGTCAATTCTTTTAAACTATATGGTCAACCCATTGCCACTTCAGCTTAGTGGTTCGTATGGCATTCTTTTTCCTCTGCGGATATCCTTGGTATGGATGGACGGAGAGAACCCTCGAGCATATCCCGTTTTATAGCCCGCTGAGTGATCTTGAGATTCTGAATAGGTGCTGAAGTTTCCTTTAATATCCAATATTTCAAAAAAGAAAGTAAATAGTCTAATAATTTATAAACAGACTGTTACGGCCTACGGCTGCTCCCTTAAAGGGTCCAATCCTCTGGGGCCCATGAGCAGAAGACTTCCCGAGTAGACGTAGGTCGGGCCTCAATGTGGCCACGTGGAATCTCTCGAATTACACTAAAATATATGGGGAAGCGTTCTATACTACGGCCAGTCGACCGGCAGAGGAATTAGGCGGAGCTTACTTACCCATATCCAAGGCGACTGGTCCCTCCGGAGTCGGTCAGGTCACATGTGGTTGTGTAGTGAAAGGGAAATAAGTGATGTGATGTGTATCTGGGTGTGACTGATGGTGATTGAACCTAGACCTTGGCCGTCGGCAGCAGCCCGAGCGTCGACACCGCTCCAACTTGAGGGGGCCTTCCGAGTTTGTCCACAGTCACTTTCTTCTTTTGGTCACGATGACAGTCAATTAACTCTATCGTACGATTAACTAACTTACAGAAGCCACTAACTATCGCTGGGTATAAGGTTAACGCACAAAACGCACACGGACTTTACGGATCAAAGGTCACGACCGTTTCGCGTAGTAACAGTTAGTTCTAGAATAACAGAGGCCGCACTAGCTAATATTGTCGAATGCACTTATACAGATTCTGAGTCTGACCCAATAAGTCCCGGGAAAGGCTATCCAAACGGAATGCGCGTTATAATTCCTAGACAGGATATTTACTAGACGCCCTAACTATTCCGCGGTTCCCGCACAAAATTAACAGCGTGCAGACATTAGCACAGCTGGCAGACGACAGCTGCGCTTGCGACCCGCGCGCCACTTGCCACGCTCGGCCGAACTTCAAACCGGTATCACCGAGCCACGCGCCCTCTAACGTCAATCCCGAAATCAGCGTTCGGGCGTAAACACAGACCATTAGTTGTAACTATTTAAGTTAACCACCACACCAGATATTTTTTATTTTACGCGTTTTATAAACATAAACTACTCTTAGACAAACATCTTGTTTAGTACGTTAATTACATCGGCATGCAAAGCACTAACCAAAGCCCCAGTCACTGCGCTACCGATTTTTGGAACGAAGTTACTTATCGGACGGTACGAATTTGGCGGATGGGGGCTAGGCGAGAAAAACTGTAACAATTTTCCGTCACGAACCCGTCTGACGTAGTGTAAGGCATTGGCGGCTATAAGGAATCGAGATGGAATAATATTCATCTCCATCGCACTTTTTCTTATTTTGCCATGAAATAAATATTATTTTAGATGACGATTAATTTTAATAGACGCCAGTAATTCATTTATTGGTATTTGTTAATCAATAATATAATACGTTTATCAACAGTAATATACTACGAAAGGAACTTCGTTCCAACCGATTGTTCCACGACATTCACACATATTTTTTTTTAAATAAAACTCTATTGACAAAGCAACTCGTGTCGTAAGAGGCGACAGAGTAAAAATGATATATAAGATACATTTTGTCATGACTTTTGTAGGCTGTAAAGGATAGATGGATGGAGGGACAAATGAACACACAGTCCACCTGATGGTCAGTTGCTACCGCAGTTCATGGCAGCCAATTTCAAACAAGGAAGTAGATAAAAAGTTATCTGTGCAAGGAAGGCTACAAATCCCATCGCTGAGGATTAAGACGGAATGCATCATAGCCTGGCCTATACTGGCTCTCTAGTCCCAGAAATAGGTAAGAGGCTGGTGGTACCTACCCAGACAGACTTCTAGGCAGAACAGCATTCTTACCACCTAGTAAGTATTACTATAATATATTATCCCTTTTTTTAATTGCTTATTTCTTTAATAGTAAGTTTCATAATTAATAAAGACAGAACATTTATGTTTATTTTTATGACCAAATTATATCTATGTGTATGGTAGGATAAAATGGAATTTAATTAAAAGTAATAATCTCAATAAAGGCAAACAGAAAAAACACCTTTTCAAACCCGCATCTTTTAAATATATTTTTAATTATTTTATTTCCTGTTCTATTGTTTAAGCGTTACCTCCACACTAGGATTTTCTCCTGTATAGTGCAGTTTACTTACTTACTTACTTACTTATCTTCACGCACAATCCCTGACGGGGTAGCCAGAGAGAACAGATCGCCAAGTGTCACGATCCTTACATATCTCTTTCGCTTCTTTCAGATTCATTATCTTCTTCATACATGCACGTCTAGGTATCCGAGTACTCTTGACCCTACCCTCTTCGAGCAATTTGCTCACATGGTCTTCGAAAGTTAGTCTCGGTCTACCTCGACACCTTTTAATATTAACTTTCGCGCCATATATTTTCTTCACCATTCGGTCTTCACTCATTCGCTCAACGTGCCCAAACCACCGAAGCACGCCCTTATCAATTTTTGTGATAAGGTCATCTTTCAAACCTGCCATATTGCGAATCTCTTCGTTTCGCTTTCGTAGTTTACATACATAAATTACACAGGGACAAACATCCAGACCCGGAACAATTATTTGTAGGCCATAAAAATACTTGTTCCGTGCGGGATTCGAACCCGCGGCCCTTAGCGTTTTGACTCTTGCTAAGCCACTGCGTCACAGAGCCGCCAATTTTATTTCACCTAAGAACGAACAGAAATTAATAGCTGTAGATAAAACTGTCTAAGTTTCTTTAAAGAAGC